TCCAGGTTAGGGGGAACGTTAATGGTCCTGATGTGGACAACAAATCACGCACACACACACGCGCGCGCAGGAAGAAATAGGTCACACATGGACACACTGTATGAGGAATATCCTGCACGTACACTAGATCAGTGCACACTCACCTCCTGTCTGACTTTGTGTARATCATTAAGTGTGGCAATTATCACTAATGGTGGAGGAAAACACCACTTTGAATCACCTGAAAATTAATTAGCTCATTTTTTAAAACATTATACAGCTGATTACACACAAACGACTCCTGCTGGACAGTCTGAGTGGACAGAATCAAACTAGGATGGAAAAGTGTTCCCTTTTCTGCCTTTTTCCACATCAATCACATATCATGAGCACTTTATTTAATAATAGCACACGATTCCTCCCTGATCTCTGTCTGATTCCTGGTTTATCCTGTAGGTCAGGAAGCCTGACGCTCTCCCGCTTGTCTCCCTTTATCTGCTCTCCCCTTTGAGCATCACAGCCTTGTCGCCGAGCATTAGAAGTGATTCGACTTCGCCAGGACTTGATTCTGAGAGAAGGAAGGCTGACGAGAGCGGGGCGAGCGGGGAGAATGCAGCGTGAGCGAAACATCGGTGGAAGAGAAAGGAGAGGAGATGGGGAGGGACGCGGGGAAGGTGGGGGTGATGAAACGCAGTTGCAGTCTGACCTTTGAAGAGCTGCTGGAAAATGTAACTTCAAACGAGGGCCATGAAATATACAACACTGCTGCTGCTGGAGTCACCTGAAATGCTCACATATCCAGGTGTTTTTTTCTTTTTCTTTTGGTAGTTGTTTTCTGCCTGGGCTCACTTTGATATGTCAGATAACGTCAGGTAAGCAGGGTTGCACCTTGTTGGGATGAAGATGGTTGCTTTCACATCTTTCTCCTGAACTCTGACTTTGAAGTGGCCAGGTGTTTTATAGCTACTCTCAGTAAATCAGATCTCTTTATCTTACTCCTAACATACAAAGCTCTTAACAACCAAGCTCCATCATATATTAAACATCTTATTGTTCCATTCTTTCCTAACAGAGCCCTTCACTCTCAGACTACAAGTTTATTTGTGGTTCCTCGAGTTTCTAAAAGTAGAATGGGAGGCAGAGCTTTCAGTTATCAAGCTCCTCTCTTGTGGAACCAACTTCCAGTTTCTGTCTGTGAGGCTGGCACTCTGTCTACTTTTAAGATTAGACTGAAGACTTTCCTTTTTGATCAATCCTAAGTTATTCCTCATTTCTCTGTTGGAGGACAAAATGAGCACATTTCCTCACTCTGCTATCATCTAGTCTCTCTCCTCTACATGTTTGTTTTTATTCTACCAATAATGTGTATTCTTTGTCTCTCCTTCAGAGGAAAATACACCTGGACCAGCCTTGTGTTTAGCCTGGCCCTTGCCTTCCTACGCAGCTCCGCTCAATTCTAGTTTCCCTTCACTGCTCCGTCTGGGACTTCTCCCAAACAGAATGATTTCGCTGGCAGATTTTTAGCCGGGCCAATCAGAGAACAGAACGTCGATTTTCTGCGCAGTGTCTGCTTGTAGTTTATTTTACCTGGGCCAATCAGCAAACAGAAGGCGGAGTTTTGAATGACGTCGATGTTCTGCGCAGTGTCTGCTAGTTAGTTTAGCAAACGGCAGTGGAGGAAGTGAATGAAGGCAGTCTGTGTTGAAAAGGCTTCCTAATTAAATTAAATTTGTCTGACAAAGCAGCAGCTCTCATTTACAGTCGTCTCATTCGGCTCGGTACTTCTCTCCTRTCAGTGGGGTTGTTTACAAGCGCTCGCGATTTCCGGTTAGCTTCTTAGCTTAGCCTCCTTCACAAAGACACACACTTCAGCAGAGGCCACGCCTCCAGCAAGAAATCGCTTCTCAATAGCAGCGAGTCCAAACCCTCGTACGAAACAAAGTGAAGGACAAGMGTCTGGTTTTTACCAGGCTAGTCCTGTGTTTGTCAGTGTCTCTTTCCTGTCCCCCAAACCCAGCTGGTCGAGGCAGATGGCCGCCTGTCCTGAGCCTGGTTCTGCTGGATGTTTATTCCTCTTAAAAGGTTTTTCCTTTCCACTGTCACCACTGTGTTGTTTCAGGATGGGAGACTGTGATGAAGTGATTCAACGCAATCTGCTGGCTTCTTTAGATTGATTTTTGTGTACAGTACCCTGAGACGACGTATGTTGTGACTTGACGCTGTATAAATAAACTGAATTCAACTTAACTGAATTGAATTTATCACCTGTAATCAAAATCAAAAGCAGAGTAATAATGTTTTAGTCTGTATTAGCAAAATAGCTTGCAAACCAGTGGACAGATTTTAATGAATTTATCAGAAAGTAATCAACTACCACATCCCTACCACATTTTCTGGGATTGTCCCAAGTTGAACAGTTCAATAATATGTTAAAAAAGAAGTGTTTAAAACCCAAATAACATGTGAATTTCCAAATTTAAACTTAGGCCAGGTAACAAAGTTGGAAAAAAAGGGGAGATAGTAAATTGCTCCAGGCCATCTTGGGCAGTAAGCAAGAAAGTGATTATGAAAAGGTGAATTTTTTTCTTTCAATTTTAGGTTCTCATTTAAATGACAAACTCTCTTGTGCTGTGAGTGCTTCAGTTCATGTGTTAAGTTTTTGCTTTATTATTTTCTTTACTAACTTTGAAAGAAAACTGAGAAAGGACTAAATATTATGTTACGAGAGGGGTTTCTTGAACGAACAGTTAATAAAAAGTAATGGAATACATCTACAATTGATTAACTTTTGGAGTCTATGGATTGCAAGATGGCCGCCACAGCTAATCYACTTAATCCTAAACAAAAACGATTTTTCCTCAGTGAAATTTCACAGATATTGYTTACACATCTGTCCACAGCTGCCATCAAATCATGTGAGAATATATCATAAGACCTCGCACATTTTATTTTTAGGGTTCGATCAAAACAGCGGCTGGCAATATGCACTCCCTTTACTGTAGTTTAGGTTCCATCTCTTTCCACTGTTTACATCCTTCACTTGCTCTATCTCCCTTACTGTTTCCCTTCCTCCAGTGTGTGTTCGTGTGTGTGTCAGTGTGTGTGTGTGTCCTTTCTCTGGATCTTCCCATCTATCTGTCAGTCTCTATCTTGCTTTCTGTGTGTCTATTTGATGCAGATGAGACAGTGATACATGATTTGCTGCGAGTCTTTCTGTCAGAGGACATCAGATCATCTAGCAAACTCTCTCACACACACACATTCACCTGCGGTTTCAGGCACACACACACACACACACACACACACACACACACACAGAGATACACATGGCGTCTGAGGAGATAAGGGAGTCTTTGAAGGTGGAAATTAGTTTTGGCGCCTGGCTGCTCCTGTCTTGCAGGTCATGTGACTAAATCCTCCAGTCACACCAACATAAACTGATAAGACAGCTCCTCGGCAAGAGTCTGTACATGCAAGTGTGTCTGTGTGTACCTGTGTGTGCACCCGGTGTGTGCGTGTGTGAGTGTGTGTGTGTGTGTGTGTGTGTGTGTGTGGACATGTTTATGGATTCCATTTATCCAGTGTGCATCTCTTGTGGCAGGGCGAGGTAATTGGTGGCAGATAAACAGCGCTTAACACAAACACTTTTACACACACACGCATACACACACACAGAAAGTAATCAGACGGGATTTACAATGTGTAGTTTGGAGCCTAATTGCTCTTCAGGTCCCTGTGCAGCGCTGCCAAAGCCATTAGTCGCTGCTGTTCTCAGAAAATWCAGTGTGTGTCACTTGAGCATGTGTGTATGTGTTGTGGCCTCTCGAAAATGAGCGTGCACATCGCTTTGGTGTGTTTACGCATGTATGCAAGTGTGTGTGCATGTGCGTGTGTGTGTGTGTGTGTGTGTGTGTGTGTGTGTGTGTGTGTGTGTGTGTGTGTGTGTGTG